ATCCCGCATGGTCTCCGGTTGCATAAAATTTGGACTCTCAAAATCAAATCCGTCGAGGTAGACATCACTCAAACCCGCGAAATAATCATCGACTAGGGACCATGGTACGTCCGCGTACTTCATACGAAATAATGCGCGGCACGCCCTGTCGACTAAAACATCATAAGATCTTACTGGACTGCTCTCTACGCGTGGCAGAAAAATGCGAAGACACGCGAGATCAGAGACCATTAAACGGACATATTCCGTAATTTTAGTTCGGAAATCCATCGTACTCAGTAATTTATACGACAGCAATTGGAATGTATTAGCGTATCCCCCGACTAACTCATCCTAATGGCAAGATGCCGCCAAAACCCAATAAATCATAATAAAAGAAATTCGTAATAGTTTAGTTTTCCCAAAGAATTAATTAACCCATGAAGAATATCAATTCGGACTTAATCGACTTTTCCAAAACGAAAATTCTTCTATACCACTGCCATAAAAAAGACAGCTGATTCTTTTCCCAACAAAAAAAAATCAAAGAAATCAATCAGAAAGAAAACCTAAAGAATTCGAAAGAGAATAATCATAAGGAAAAACAAATCAATAAACCAAACAAAAATCGATTATTCACCCAACTTGCCCCAACAGAAATTCTAATAAAAAAAAATCAAAAATCCGAATCACTCAGTCCCAAAAATTAATCGGTTATTCCCAAAAAACGAATTTTTAATAGTAACCATTTTCCGAATAGAACTAATAATTATAACAAAAAAAAAATTTCTGATCCCTAATTAATTGCAAAAAGAATATTGAGAGTCACTCTCTAGCCTTTATTGCAACGCGAATAGTGCTAGAGGTCAATGACCTCGCGCGGCTACCAGATAGTTGCAAGAGTACAGTAGTACTCAACAGCCGAACGTGAGCGACCAATAAATCCCCCCGCTCGACGGTCCTACTGAACGCGTGAAGCGAGAGCGACTCGACGAATATTGAGCGAGAGAGACGCGAGATATCCCGCATTCACCGGAGCTAAAGTTCTCCCGACACCTCGAGCGCGATGTGAACAAACCCGGAATGCGCGGCGAAATAAAACGCATCGATATATGCCGACGGACCGAGGTGTTACAATACGACAACAAGGGAATTTTAATTCCGAATTCGAATATCCCACGAATAATTCAACGATAAAATTCAATGCGTGAATTTTATTAACAATTTCTCGGAAATACTAACCATTTACCGTAAAAAAAATTACTAACAAAATAGAAAACTTTATAATTCATATCACCCGTTAATTGGCCCAAAGGCCCCACGTTGGGCGCCAAAAAGTTGTGAGGTATTTTTCCAATTACGTATGGTGGCATCATACGTGTAGTCCTTCACGAACTTTGGTCGCCCTGAATAGAACCTCTCCACCCGAATAAAGTACACAGGTGATCAACGAGGGGAACCAAAAAAAATACCAGAAGGGCGCCAGTCCTTTTAACCTCTAAAGGACAAGGTTACGATGTCGAAGCGCGTTCCACGACCAGCTCAGAAACCGCGGGGGCGTGTGGGAACGGGCAAAAAAAATGATACACTCAACACTGTGCAAAATAAATGTATTCTGAGAAAAAAAATTGAAGGGGTAAATTCCCCGACTCGAAAACGGTAGTGATAATTGCAAAATCATAAACTCCGACTAGCGGAGAGAGCTAACGGAACTCGATTTAATCTTCAGTAAATCTTGGTAATTATTAACCAAAGAATTCAATGGCGTGGATAACGCACGGACGCAAGGATCACCCGAACGCGACGACGACGCGAGAGCTACGCGGACAAAAAAAAATACAGTTCCAAAAAGAATCACAATAAAAAGAAATGAAACACTGATGTTCAGTAAATAAGACAATTAATTAGGCCCAAGGCCGCTGAGTGCCGCGTCTCACAGTACGACTACTTAGTATTCAAACGGTTCCCAAATGGCGACCGGAGGCTACGCGTTAGAAAGCCACGCGACCACACACAAACAAAATTACGCTCACCGTTGATCCGCGATAAACTCCAGGAAAACCTGGTCTGAATCCTTGGATACGGCAGCGATCTCGGACGATGACCGAAAAAATCCAGACACAACACCCCAAAGTCTAATTACTTGAATTTTCTACCGAGCTCAAAGAGCGAATCGACTTAATTGCGCAGAGCGACTTTACAAGCTGAAATCTCAGCGAAGGGTGATTCCTCGGGCAATATATCGCCCCGAGGAACCTCAATTTCTCTCCTGCCATCACCCTAATCTACCGATGTCGCGCGGAGAATTCATGTTCTAATCGTGCATTTGCACTGGCCATAATACCTAATTTGATGGCCCCAAAGACTTGGGACGTGCGCCTCGCAATCGGTGAACTGTTCCGCATTCAACGGCGGTGAGGCCAACATGATCCGATGCTCCCTCGGTGCTACAGCCTGAGTTTTTTATATGGTGGCCTCGCGCCACAGTACCATCGGTGAGGTGGTGGGGGTCCACACGTAGAGGCCTGAGTTGCCTGCTGGCGTGCGACTATCGTCTCCCGCGTGCTTGTTGGTTTGAGTCTCTACAGACTCGGTGTGTGCGTTCTCGTCGGTGTGCCAATTCGTCATTTGCCGTAGTGCCGACTTCGTAGCTCTCTCCGATGATCCGTTCCACTCCCCTCGTCACAAAGCTCACGCGTAACCCGCGGTGAGCGTAACAACGTTAGAATTGAGCGATAAAACAAAAAAAATAAAATCAATACGAGAACTAATTGTGAAAATGTGGCCTGGGGTGATGTGACTCCTCGCTGAGGTAATTTCCTAATCCCCCCCCCTTCAAACCCTTTCAATCCGCGGTCTGTTCAGGCGAGGAACAGGACATGATTTCTATCATGTTACAATCGAGATACGCGGTAGCGTATCGGCCAAGTAACCATTTCACCTCTCACCGAAACTTGCCGGCAGCTACTGCGTATCTATACACGAAGCAACTACCCCCTCCACTACCTCCTAATCAGAATTCTTCAATAAAATAAAAATGGCACTAAATATGCCGAAACTAACTTCAGTTTTATCATATAAACGGCCTATGCCCTTCCCATTTATGTCACTACTTTTTTTTTCTAATCAATATTTACAAAGATAGTTGCATAGCAACACGTTTTATGCGATTTTTTCGTGATTGAGATTATCTCTCATGTGAGATTTGCTCTACGAAGTTGGCAGTCGCCTAAACGATTCATATTGAATAGTTGGTGACCCTGCCGTTCCTTTAAAGGGTGATCTGATGTGCATGCGCGTAATGAATAGTGAAGTGATGCGCATGCGCGTAATGAGTGTGATGAGATGAAAGGAGGTATTCCCTCTCTCTGTCTTCTAAACATTCCGGCATTCAACGACGGTGTTAACGACACATAGTTTGACTACAATTCGGTAAGTAATGAACATTTTGATAAATTATTAGGTGCGTAAAAAAATCGGTGAAATCACGTGTTTCCTCAATTTTCAAGTTCGCTCACTTTCTCTTAAACTTGATGCGCTTTTCCTCATCTTTGGTCCACGTGACATTTCTAGGTTATTTCGGATATAATAACAAATTTTAACCTGCTAATAAAATGAGGATAACATTCGTCTTGTTTAATAAAATACATGAATGGATTGAACATTGACTAATCCATGAAATCCGGATACGAGTTTTTTTTGCATCAAGTGAAGACTTCCAAAATCCAGTTATCCATTTTTGTTAATTAAGCTTACATTTCGTGAACGAATATTTTTAGGAGAATATGTCATAGGATGTTTTTTGTAGCCGAAGCCATTTGTAACGGAAAATGTCTTTTCACAATTCTCCCAGAAATCACTCATTATTCAAGAAAATACAGCATGTGACGAGACGTGAATTTATAGGTTATTTTTGGCGACAACAGTTTTTAACTTCAGATAATTGTGCATTTATCTCAAAAACGAGTGGATTCAGGGGAAAATGTCAACAAACCTCTTTTGTATCTGAAATTTTGGAAAATTTGATCAGCTACAAAAAATGTTTCTTGATATTTTCCACCAAACCCACTCATTACCGAGATAATCGCGTATTTAAAATCATGTAGAAATCATCATCTTATTCCAAATGGCAAACTTGACGGTTTTGTTAAATACGTATTTATCTCATGAACGATTGGGTTTATGAGGACATGTCAGAAGACCTTGTTCGAAATACAGCCTAAATCTCCAAAATGGTTACGGTCGACTAACTCGGCCATCTCCGAAAATCTCCGTGAACTTTCGGGTCAACGGACACAGGTCAGCGCGGCACCCGGAAGAGTCAGTCAGTAGTAGTATAGAAGTATCGTTACGATAATGAGCTAGCGTATTCAGTCAACCAGTATTATAAATTTAATAATTTTGTTCAGTACATCAACTTATTGATTCAGTTCAGAAATTCCAGTGACTCAACGAGATAAGGTGCAAAAGGACAATATCAGTGAAAATTAGACATTCAACAATAATTGAAACCAAAGAGTGTACCGAAATTGTGATAAGTGGTTCGATCCCACGCCAAATATAGTGATGATTTTCTAAAACGCCTAAATAATTTTCCCAACATCTCCGTCCACATTTTCATCCCACATCCACCCTAAACTAGTTCCTCACCAAACAGTGGTCCTTCGAGCCGGATAATTTCTTCGTCAGTTGATAAGCCCAACTCATGCAGAGCCTCTGGACAATTGCTGCTCCACTTCTGTAGAGAGAAGCCTCCTGCATGGCAAAGCCGTTGTAGTTGCGTTGCGATCTCCTTGAGACCGTCTTCTGTCTCTGCACCGCCGTAAATGTCGTCAACGTAACGACCTCTGGTGAGTGTCTCTACTGCTGCTGGGAAGCGGTGCCCTTCATCTTCTGCTAGTTGTTGAAGAACACGTAACGACAACCATGGAGAGCAATTTAGTCCATAGGTGACTGTCGTTAACTGGTAGGTGACTGGTTGTTGATTCTCGTCGATCCACAGTATTCTCTGAAGATTCCAGTCATCTTGGTGAACTCGTATTTGGCGGAACATCTTTACAATATCTGTGCCAAACATGAGCCTGTGCCTTCTCATCCAAGTCAGGATAACCATTGCATCGTTCTGTAATTTTTCACCAGAATACAGTATATCGTTAATTGACATACCTGATGAACTGGGGCTGGAGCTATTGAATACGACTCTCAGCTTCGTTGTGATGGCCTCCTCTCTCAGTACCCCGTGATGTGGTAGATAGTAAGCTGGCACGGGTTCTGGAGTCTCTGGTGCTATTCTCATGTGTCCCAGTGCTGCGTACTCGTTAATGAACTCTCTGTAGAACTGGGAGTATGCTTGATCTGTGTTGAGACGACTCACGATCGATTTGAGTTGACGTGTTGCTTTCAATTTCGATTCTCCGAGCGCTGCTGCTGAAGTTTTGAGGGGCAGTCTCACGATGTATCGCCCGGTGTTGTCTCTGCTATGAGTTGCTCTAAAGTGCATCTCGCACTCGTACTCATCTGGTGAAAGCTCTGATGTTGATGATCTCTCGTTTGGCAGTTCTTCCTGGACCCAAAATTTCTGGAGAAGCTCTAGAAGTTGTTCATTCGAAGATTCTCGTACAGCTGATAGAGATACCTTTATTGAACAATTTGTGCATTCGATTGGTCCGGATAGTATCCAACCGAATACTGTGCGTTGGCCAACTACTCTCGATTGCTCTGACTTGACAACTTCATCCATGATGATCCGCCCATAGTTGTCAGCCCCTAGTATGATGTCGATTGGTCCAGGCCTTAAATAATGGGGATCGGCTAGCTGAAGATTCTGAAGTGAGCCGATCCTCGCTGATGAGCATGAAAATGACGGAATTATGGTGGTGAGCTTCTTTAGAATGTG